GCAGGGTTGGGCCCTTGTACCAGTCGAGGTTGGTGGACCTCTCAATCATGTTGTCACCCTCAAAACCAGAAATGGGTACGAATGGAATCTTGTCAGGGTTGTAACCAACCTTCTTGATGTAGGAAGAAACTTCCTTCACAATTTCATCATATCTAGGCTTGGAGTATTTTGGTGTGGTGGCATCCATCTACAGAAGACAGATCACAAACATACAAGATGAATAACTGTTAAAGACAATATTCTAAAAATAATAGGATATAAGAAAGATTATTGGTTTAGATCATTGAAAATGAGCTCACCTTGTTGCAGCAGCAAATCATCTGCCTGACACCGAGTGTGAAAGCAAGCAAAGCATGCTCACGGGTCTGACCATCCTTGGAGATACCAGCTTCAAAACCACCAGTGGTGGAATCAATGATTAGGACGGCACAGTCAGCCTGTGAGGTACCAGTAATCATGTTCTTGATAAAGTCACGATGTCCTGGAGCATCAATGACAGTGCAGTAGTACTTGGTGGTCTCGAACTTCCACAAGGCAATATCAATGGTAATACCACGCTCACGCTCAGCCTTGAGCTTGTCGAGCACCCAGGCATACTTAAATGACCTCTTGTTCATCTCAGCAGCCTCCTTCTCAAACCTTTCAATGACACGCTTGTCAATACCACCAAGCTTGTAGATCAAGTGACCAGTGGTGGTTGATTTTCCAGAATCGACATGGCCGATGACCACAATGTTAATGTGAACCTTCTCTTTACCCATGATGAATATCTAAGAACTGCAATTGGTTAATAAGCCAACTATGAGTAAAAAAAATGTAATAGAGAATTACTACAACATTTACAAGATTACAAATTTACCGATTGCAGAAGAAACAATCCATAAAGATGTCAGACAAACATGAAAATTTTGCACAACGTTTCACTTAAATTTCATGATCTAACATAAATATATGACAGGACCAAAATAAATTCATATAAACAAACAGAAACTTAAATTATGGCAATCTACCCAACAAAAAATAACTCAATGATCGACAAATAAAGAAACAAAATACAGAAGATAATAATACTGCACTCCTTTTAGAAAATAAACGTTGTACAGAACCTAATTGGAATCCAATTAAAAAATCAATATAATTTAATTTCTATTGGAAGTCATAGGATTCAACAGGATATACAGTTATATTCAAATTAAGATGCATAAAATAAGACGGACAATGTAATTCATCAAAGATTCAAATCATTACTAATAAGAACTAGATCGTAGTTATATATACATGTGTACGAATTATAACTGAAACAATATATAAACAACTAATTCATCGAATTGGAAAACAAAATTCGAAGAAACAATAGCAATAACATGGATTTGAATATTAATAAAGAAAAAGAATACAATCCAAGAAGAAAGAGAACAGATCTAACCGCTTAGAAAGAACTTACAGAGAAGAATTTTGTTAAAATCCTAGCCGCTGAGAGCACGAGAGCTAAGAGATGTTAATAGGGTTTGTATTGTCACGACAGTTTATATACGCGGTAGGGTTTCTGTGCTATAGTTGACTTGACTGTATTCAACTGGTTCAATTCGATGGATCCCATTTAAGCCACGTTTGGTGGCCATTTTTGAAAAAATATTATTGTGAACATTGAATTTTGAAGAATGTATGATTAAAAAGTATGAAAAAATTTTGAATTTATATGTAAAATATTTTATTGTGTGAATACATAATTAAAAATAAATATGTAGAAAAACAATATTGCTCTATTTACACTATTTCTTACATTTTTCTTTACACCCTTCCACGTGCCAATGTCTACCCTCTTGATTTTGAACACATTCATCATATCATTGCACAGATTTCCTTCACATAAGAGATAATGTCAACCAAATTGTCCGCTTGGATAATTTTTTTTCCTGAATTTTTCTTTCTTGATTATTTTGAAAAGTGTAGGCCTTTGAATGCCATTTTCACTTAATTTTTTAAGGTAAATGATATTTGTAAAAGTTTAAAGATCCAGTTGAAATTCTTATCTTTTGAAAAATAATTTTTATGCAAGAGTTTTTATGAAGTAATTTTTCTCGTGCATAAAAATTCAAAATTTGAGCTTTTAGTGATCATTGCTAAGGATTACAGTATTTTACCTTTACATATGAATCCAAATCATCTAAGTCTAATATCTTCAATGAATATTCGATTTGACGTGAATACTTGATTTGTTCTTGTCTTTGATTGATTTAACATGAATGCTCGTCTTCTATCTCGATTTTATTTGATCGTAAATTACAAATATTTTGGTGGTGATCTTTTTCTCTCCAATTGATCAATTTGACAGGAATAGCTATGAAGATTTGATTCAAACATTAGAGATAAAAAATAATTTATTTGTTATAATCAAAACATAAGATCAGCCATATGTCAATAGATCGAACATCTAACTTTAGTAACAAAAGATCAAACTAAAAACAATGAGAGAATATATATCTTGTAGTTGATATCTTAGCATTAACCCCAATAGCACAAAGGGGGTAAGGATATTTATAGTATTATATGTGAAATAATGATCATTGGATGAGGGGGGCATGTGGCATCATCTCCTTTTACTGAAGCATCTCATCCTATGTATCAATTTTAACTCAATTAACTTGTGTTGCGCTAAATGCTCCCAAAAGGGAGGCAACCACCCCATAACCTATGCGACAAGACAGAGACATTTTACTCATTATAAGAGTCAAATTAATCATTCAAACAGGATTTCATAAATTCGGGATCTTCAAATGTCGGTCGTCACTTGTCATGGTTGAGCTTCATATTTGACTTTGTTGAGTCTCACTACTTCAGCGGAGGAGCTTTGTTTGGATCTCAGATTTCGCTTCGACACAGGGGCTTCAGTAGGGCCATTTTCGATAAGAGTGGGCTTCGATGGATCGAATTTAATAGAATTTTGTAGGTCCCACTCCACGTGGGATGTCACATGACTTCGACAAAAAGAGCTTTGGTGGATCGGCCACGTGGGGCGCTAGATGGTGAAGCGTAACAGTATGGTAAAAAAATAATGCTAACATTATTTTATGGGAGTATGTACGGTTGAAAATATATTTTGGAAAAATGCATTTTTGAAAAATTGAACCCCAAACAACGACTAAAATGACTGCAACTTTAAAGGCCCTCTTGGGAGTTTTTCTTTTCATTGATTGTGACTGATTTTGAGTGACATCGTTTACGAGATGTTGAAAAAAATCGGTACTTGCTAGTTTTTTTGGATGGTTTTTTAAACCATTCAAAAACGGTGTAGTGTAATTTTGAGCCATTCTTTCCACCAACCAAATCGACGGATTTTGACAATTTTCCATATTCATTTATAATTTTACCCTTTACAAAATAATTATTTCCAACTAACCTATTTTGTTCAAACACTCAAAAGTACCTTTGGTTCCAAATACAAGAAGTCCTACTTCATCATTCTTGCTAAAAACCATCCAAAATCGGTGTAGTGTAATTTTGAGCCATTCTTTCAACCAACCAAATTGACGGATTTTGACAATTTTCCATATTCATTTATAATTTTACTCTTTACAAAATAATTATTTCCAACTAACCTATTTTGTTCAAACACTCAAAAGTACCTTTGGTTCCAAATACAAGTCCTACTTCATCATTCTTGCTGAATATCATTCACATAAATGCTAAAAGGGGATATTAGAAGTGAAGCAAAAGATTCAGTAGATTGATCCTCGCTAATTTTAATTACCGAAAGAGGCTTTAGGGCATTTTCATCATCCCCTTAGGATATACTAATTTAGCCTGCGACTTGCTATCTCATCTAAAAAATGACCAACCCGTTGCAGCATTCTCTAGATGAGCTTTTGCTCCTGGTAAACCGATCATTGGTTAAATATAAGATTGTCGATGCTTATAATTTTTGGAACCCCATATGCATCTAGTGAACAAGATCCAAAGCATGTGCTAAGCACAGGTCACAAACTAATGCTTCTGCACAAAATGTTTTTTTTGGTCAATGCAACCTTGATAGAAGCGAGAAGAGGAATAAATTTATACGCTTTGATAAGAAAAGTATCATAGATGTTGCCAAGGTGAAAAGAGACCTGTGGCGAGATGGTTTAAGAGGTCCTGTGAGCATGAGTAATAAAATTAGGGCTATCCGTGGGTCGGTTCGGTTCGGTTCAGTTCTGAAGAGATCCGAATCGATCCAAAATTTTCGGGTATTTAATAAATGGACTCGTCGGGTCCAAATATAATTATGGAACCGTTCGGGTTCGGTTCCGTTCGGTTCGGTTCGGGTCGGTTCGGTTCCGTTCGGTTCCGTACCATAATTAAATTTTTTAATATTTTCAACAACACTACATAAATACAA